CTCGCACACCAGAAACTTGTTTCTATTTCTTAAGTAAAGCATGTTACTTTGAAGGTCCTGCTAATTAGCTAGGAAAGCCCTTCATAAAACCACTTATCTCATTGCTCTGTGAACAGGAAAACCTAGTCATTAATAAACGGTTATCCAAGGTGAAAGTGAGACCATAACTTGGACCCATCGTGATATGAGTGGCAAAAAAGAGATCCCTAAAGAGAAAACCTCCAAGCATCTCTATAAAACCTTTTATTTTGCGTCATTCTGATAGCTACTGCCTTATGATTAGAATCCTTCGGCACATGATGCGTCATTTGGTGATAACTCAGGGGAAAACCCTATAACAGTGCTTGGTGCTGGAATGGTGACCCCTAAAAGGAGTGTCATGAAAGACCTATCCGGATACACGTCATCGCCAGCTTCTACGCCGATAGGGCGTAATACAAAACCGGGTTGGTACGCGGAGCATGACAAGTTTGTGCACATCTCGCAGACTGCTGGTGCAGGTATACTACTTATTGGGGACTCGATAATCAATGGATTGTCCCGTTACCATAGTGTCTGGTCGAAATATTTTGGGCCGTTGAGGGCACTTAACTTTGGCATCGGTGGTGATCGCACCCAGCATGTTCTTTGGAGAGTCGAAAACGGCGAGATTCCGATGAATCTGCACATATGTGTTGTGCACTGCGGAACAAATAACATTGACAAGGACACACCCTCTGATATCACCGATGGCATTACATCCATAGTGTCCGTATTCCAGACTGCGAAACCGAACGCCAAGGTAATAATTGCCGGACTGCTCCCACGTGATTTGGAGCATGGATACCGGCGACATAGCATCCGCAGCGTCAACAAGAAGCTAAAAAGATGGAGTCAGTCACCTTCACAGAGGAACGTTTATTTTCTGAAGCCGGACAATGACTGGGTGTTACCGGATGGTATGCTCAGAACAGAGCTTTATTACACTGACTACTTGCATTTAGGCGAGCCAGGCAACGAAAAGTTTGCAAAGTCAATTTACGACATGATAATGAAGTTGATGCAAGGCGAAAGAATCGATTATATCCTCAGCAGCGATGAAGAAGATATGGAGCTTGAGGTACCAGGCTTCATAAATCACTCTCCATTAATACTCATTTTGTCAGCCTAAGGCCCCTTTTTCTTCTGTGCTCAATATTATTTTAGACTCGAGCCATTTTTGTCAATACCCATAGAGGAGACAAGATGAATTTCAGGTCTACTTTTCCTAAGATATCAGTGAGACAGGTTTGCTGTAATTGTTTCTATATTAGGAGTAGGTGTCAATAGGCAATCACATAATATTTGCACTCTTTCCTCTAGTTTTCTCTCTAATAATGTAAGGTTTATTAACGAGAATCTGGCATCACTAAAATTATCAATTAGCACTAAATTTCTGCAAATTTTCATTCTAGTTTCTGAACGAGGAATTATTTTAAAAAAGCAAATTTCAAAAAAGTGATAAGCAGTAAGGTATAGAAGGGTATTAATTTTGATTTTTGTTCTCCCGCAGGATTCCGATTTGAAGTATCCTGTCACAGACCTGCGGGATAAGCTAAATAATGTACGTACAATTGATTAATCCTTCCTTTTCTTAATTTGAAATTAGTTACTAAAGATAAAAGATTAACAATTGTCAGGCAGAAGTATGATTTTATAGGAAATATTGCAAGTTCATTGATTCAAAAATCTATAAAAGGCAAAAGTTTTGGACGGTCTTAAGTTCTGTATCTGTTTGAAATCAGAGGAATTGCTCTTGTTGAATTCGAAATAGCAGCGCCATTTATTGTGGCCGTAGGTCGGTCAATTTCCATATGGGTGCCTTGCTCGAGTGCCCCCTAGCCATCTGAACTGGTAGATCATGTGATCTGAAGAAACGTTCACTGTTGCGATGTTTAGCTGTCGATTTGCGCCAGAAGAATCATGGCGAATGGCCGCAATATGCATAACAAGTCTCCTTTTGCTTGTTATCCTATCAAGAGAAGTAGTTTGTTGGAAGCGATTCTGTAAACGATATATTTCAAGAGAGAAAGATGATATTTCGCCATGTGCTCTTACAGTGTCAAGAATGACTTTGGAAAAGTTAACATAATTTCTGTGATGAATTGGACCACATTTATTAAAGGCTTTTTTACGAAGAAACCAGTTGTTGCCTAATTTGAAGCTATATCTCGAGAAAGAATCTAATACCTTGCTGTTGGGCTTTTCACCATCTTTGTTGGAAGCGCATTACACTGTGTGTCTTATGTTGGACTATATTGTCACTGGCTGATTTTTGTTGGACCTGGCAGATTTCATGTCCCTCGTTCAAACTGTAGAAAAATGCTATCAAAACGACAGAATCGTGCCTGATACTCGATTTCATAGATGAATTTGGGATGGACTGCCATGACAATGTTGCGTAAAAGATAAAAGCTCATCGGGTCGATCACTAGGAAGAGCAATCAGTTGATCAGTGCGCTCCTATCTGCTATCAGCCAATCAACGTGAAACTGTTTACCACAGCCAATCAACGTGATATTGTCTATAATCAACCAATCAATGCGACCCTATCCACCATCAGCCAATCAATGCGACCCTGTCTACCATCAGCCAATCAACGTGATACTGTCTATCATCAACCAATCAATGCGACCCTGTCTACCATCAGCCAATCAACGTGATACTGTCTATCATCAACCAATCAATGCGACCCTGTCCACCATCAGCCAATCAACGTGATACTGTCTCTCATCAATCAACCAATGCGACCCTGTCCACCATCAGCCAATCAACGAGATATTGTCTATCGTCAACCAACCAATGCGACCCTGTCCACCATCAGCCAATCAACGTGATTCTGTCTGCCATCAGCCAATCAACATGATACTGTCTATCATCAACCAATCAATGCGACCCTGTCTACCATCAGCCAATCAACGTGATACTGTCTATCATCAACCAATCAATGCGACCCTGTCCACCATCAGCCAATCAACGTGATACTGTCTCTCATCAATCAACCAATGCGACCCTGTCCACCATCAGCCAATCAACGAGATATTGTCTATCGTCAACCAACCAATGCGACCCTGTCCACCATCAGCCAATCAACGTGATTCTGTCTGCCATCAGTCAATCAACATGATACTGTCTATCATCAACCAATCAATGCGACCCTGTCCACCATCAGCCAATCAACGTGATTCTGTCTACCATCAGCCAATCAACATGATACTGTCTATCATCAACCAATCAATGCGACCCTGTCCACCATCAGCCAATCAACGTGATTCTGTCTACCATCAGCCAATCAACATGATACTGTCTGCCATCAGCCAATCAACAAGATACTGTCTGCCATCAGCCAATCAACCCGA